CTATCTATCTATCTATCTATCTATCTATCTATCTATCTATCTATCTATCTTCCTGTAGATCTATCTATTTCTATCTATTTATCTGTCCATCCATCCATCCATCCATCTATCTATCTTCCTGTAGGTCCATCTGTCTATCTTTCAATCCATCCCTGAAATGTATACATCCATCTGCTAACACATCTACTGTGTGTGTCCTACCTACCCACCTGCCTACCTATCTCATCTATCTATCTATCTATCTATCTATCTATCCATCAATCTATCTATCTCCATCCATCCATCCATCCAGTCCATCCATGGATCCCTGAATTGTATACATCCATCTGCTAACACATCTACTGTGTGTGTCCTACCTACCTGCCTACCCTATCTATCTATCTATCTATCTATCTATCTCCATCCATCCATGCATCCATCCAGTCCATCCACGCACCCCTGAATTGTTTACATCCATCTGCTAACACATCTACTGTGTGTGTCCTACCTACCCACCTGCCTATCTATCTATCTATCTATCTATCTATCTCCATCCGTCTGTCTGTCTGTCCATCCATCCATCCGGTTCCACCATGCATCCCTGTATTGTATGTATCAATCCCCTGATGCATCCTTAACATGTGTCCTACCCACCTGCCTACCCATCTCATCTATCTATCTATCTATCTATCTATCTATCTATCTATCTATCTATCTACCTACCTACCTACCTACCTACCTACCTATCTATCTTCCTGTAGATCTGTTTATCTGTCTGCCCATCCATCCATCTTCCTGTCTGTCTGTCTATCTATATATCTTTCCATCTATCTTCCTGTAGGTCCATCTGTCTGTTTTTCCATCCATCCATCCATCGATCCATCTTCTATCTATCTATCTTTCTGTAGATCTATCTATTTATCTGTCCGTCCAGCCATCTTCCTGTATCTCTCTCTCTCTATCGAGGCAAGCCGTGTGGATCCTCAAAGGAAGGCGAGAGAAAGGTGAACATCCATTCGAATGGGAAGGCGAAGTCCTGCGGCGTCCAAATCCCGAGAAGCTTGTAATTCCAAAGGCACATTTTGTACAAATAAAAGCAATTTCCAAAAACGGGGAGAAAAGTCCCGGGAAGAAAAAGATATATAAGAACCAACGGTTTCTGATAAAACCTGCTTCCTCTTTTTGGGGTCTTCCTGTTCCAGTTTCCGGAGAAAATCGTTCCAAATCAGCTCTTTTTTGAAGGCTTTCGAATCTTCAACTGCACATCATCATCATATTATTATTATTATTCTTCCTCTTGTTTTTTTTCTTTATAGTCTACTTTCCTCTCTTAAAGGAACCTCAAGGACACCATTATCATCCTCATCATCATCACCATTATTATTAATATTTGTTGTTGTTGTTGTTGTTTATATACCACTTTCTTCTCTTAAGGGCATCATCATCATCATCATCTATACCCCCACTTTCCTAATAATAATAATAATAATAATAATAATTATTATTATTATTATTATTATTATTATTATTATTATCTATACCCTGCTTTTTTCTCTTACAGGAAACCCCAGAACATCATCATCATACTCACAATTATTTTACAATATGCATTATTATGATGATGCTATCATTATTACTGCTATTATTATTATTAGTATTAGTATTATCTATACCCAGCTTTCCTCTTTTTAAGGAAACTTCAGATCATCATCTTCATCAAGGTCCCAAATGAAGTCTTTTAGGGGGGAAAGAAAGTTCCCAAAATGAGTTTTCAAATTTTATATGGATAGATAGATAGATAGATAGATAGATAGATAGATAATGATAAGGTCAGATGAGGTCAGGAGAGGGACCTTTTATTATTATTATTATTATTATTATTATTATTATTATTATTATTATTATTATTATTATTATATAAGGTGAGGAGAGGGATATTCCTCCAAATAATAATAACGATGATGATGATAATGATAATAATAATAATAATAATAATAATAAAGGGGAGGGGAGGAATATGCCCTCAAATAATAATGTTAATAATAATAATAATAATAAAATAAGGTGAGGAGAGGGATATTCCCCCAAATAATGATGATGATGGTGATAATAATAATAATAATATAAGTTGAGGAGAGGGATATGCCCTCAAATAGATAATGATAATAATGATAATGGTAATGATAATAATAAAAGGTCAGGAGAGGGATATGCCCTCAAATAATAATAATAATAATATTTGACATGATTGTTGTTGTTCATTCGTTTAGTTGTCCCCGACTCTTTGTGACCTCATGGGGCACCCCACGCCAGAGCTCCCTGTCGGCCGTCACCACCCCCAGCTCCTTCAAGGTCAATGCAGTCCCTTCAAGGATGCCATCCATCCATCTGGCCCTTGGTCGGCCCCTCTTCCTTTTACCTTCCACTTTCACATGACATGATATGAGGATTTAAAGATCGAACTGCAAAGACACAAGCCAGTCAAAGTGGTCCCAGTGGTGATCGGCACACTGGGTGCAGTGCCTAAAGACCTTGGCCTGCACTTAAACACAATCGGCGCTGACAAGATTACTATCTGCCAGATGCAGAAGGCCACCTTACTGGGATCTGCACGCATTATTCGCTGATACATCACACCGTCCTAAACTCTTGAGAAGTGTCCGACAATACCTGGGAGTCACTCCAGACTGTGCTCTGACTTACAAGAAGCACTGCTTGAATATCAATCAAAAAGTGGGTGCGAGAAACAATATCATACGAAATTTGACTGGCACATAGTATTCATAGGAAAGCTCCTGCTACAAAATAGGAGCTTTTTTGTTGAGTTCCAGGGCCAGAGGAATAGATGGCGGAAACAGAAGAACGGCCTGCCTCAGGGGAGCGTGCTCTCTCCATCCATGTTCAACATCTACACAAATGACCAGCCACTCCCAGAAGGGACAGAGAGTTTCATCTATGCTGATGATCGTGCCATTACTGCTCAAGCAGGGAGCTTTGAGATGGTTGAACAGAAGCTTTCCGAAGCTCTAGGTGCCCTTACTGCCTATTACAGGGAAAACCAGCTGATCCCTAACCCATCCAAAACACAGACATGTGCTTTTCATCTCAAGAACAGACAAGCATCCCGAGCTCTGAGGATTATTACCTGGGAAGGAATCCCACTGGAGCATTGCAGCGCACCCAAATACCTGGGAGTCACTCTGGACCGTGCTCTGACCTACAAGAAGCACTGCCTGAACATCAAGCAAAAAGTGGGTGCTAGAAACAATATCATACAAAAGCTGACTGGCACAACCTGGGGATCACAACCAGACACAGTGAAGACATCTGCCTCAGGGGCGGCTCGTCCATTACGCGAAGTAAGCGGTCGCAGAACACTTTTTTTTGCCAGGGGCGCAGAGGCGCCTCTGTAAATGCCCCTCGACTGCCACTTGAGGAGCGCCCCCTCAGCTCACAACAGCCCTAGCAGTCCGGGGGGAGCCTCTGCTTTCTTGCCTCGCTGCCGGGCGATCCTCTTCCCAAAGGGGCCGGGCCCTTGAGCCTCGCCTAGCCCCTCTCGTTCCTGCTCCACCCAGCCACCGGGTGCGAGCAGAGCCGGCGCTCAATCGTTCTCCATGTTCTATCCCTTCCCCATGACTGGCTCCCTTTCCCGATCCCCCGGCGCTCCACCTGCCTCCTCTCCCCAATCCGCGGGTGGGCCAAGGGGCGGAGCCGCCACGCCTGGCCCGCTTCGGGTCCAGAGGCGTGTCTGAAGACCCCAGCGTGCGCACCAAAAGTCGCCTCTTCTCCTGACTTTCTCTTCAGCCATTGGGACCAAGAGAGAGAGAGAGAGAGAGAGAGAGAGCCCCTCCGGCTGGAGGTATCTCCCACCTCCGCTCCCTCCTTTGTTTTTGCGCCTACCTTCAGGAAAGGTGGGCATCTCCACCTCTCTCTCTCTCTCTCTCTCTCGGTCCCAATGGCTGAGGAGAAAGTCAGGAGAAGAGGTGACTTTTGGTGCACACGCCGGGGTCTTCAGGCACGCCTCCGGACCCAAAGCGGGCCAGGCAAGGGAGCAAGTGCGGCAAGTGTAGTTACTGGGATGTATAGTTCACCTACAATCAAAGAGCATTCTGAACTCCACCAATGATGGAACTGAACCAAATATGGCACACAGAACTCCCACGACGAACAGAAAATATATATCAGTGATTGGTTTGGGGGGGGGGGGTGCCAAAATACTGTTTGCTTACCATTGAAAATTACCTAGGGCTGCCTCTGTCTGCCCTTGCGCTGTGCTACTCTGCTGCTGAGTATGAATGCCCAGTGTGGAACACATATCACCACAGTAAACAGTGGATGTGGCTCTGAATGAGATGGGGTGCCTGCGCCCTACACCACTGAAGAAATTACACTGCTTAGCCAGTATTGCACCACCTGACATCTGCCGGGAAGTAGCAGCCAATAGTGAAAGGATCAAGGCAGAGACATCTCCAGCTCATCCCCTGTTTGGATATCAGCCAGCACGTCAACGACTTAAATCCAGACATAGTTTTCTAAGATCTACAGAGACACTCAGCAATCAAGAGTCCAAAAGTGGCAGGCTCAACCCCAGAACCTCAACCAATGGCTGATACCAAATGAGAGACACACAGAGGACTGGGCGACCTGGAAGGCGCTGAACAGACTGCGCTCTGGCACCACGAGATGCAGAGCCAACCTTCAGAAATGGGGCCACAAAGTGGAATCCTCGGCATGCGAGTGTGGAGAAGAGCAAACCACAGACCACCTGCTGCAATGCAACCTGAGCCCTGCCACATGCACAAGGGAGGACTTTCTTGCGGCAACACCAGAGGCCCTCCAAGAGGCCAGATACTGGTCAAAGGACACTTAATCCACTACCAAACTCACAAATGTTGTATTTTGCCTGTTTGTTTTGCTTTGTTCTGTTAGAAATGTCATATAATTTGACTGGCTGTGCTGACACGTCAATAATAATATGACTAATAATAATATGAGGTCAGGAAAGGGACCTGCCCACTTACCTTGGTACCCTGTTCCGGGAGTGGGCGTGGCCTTGGCGTGGGCGTGGCCCGGGTGGGGGGCGGGGCCAGCGAGGGGCCGGCAGTCGGCCAGGATGTCCCTGATGAGGAAGGATGACGTCACGGTCCGGGACTGGGCGGGGGCGGGGCCTGGCCGCGGGGGGCCTGCGGGGTCGGCGGCGGTTTCGAGGGGCCCCCGAGGAGGGGAGGGGCAGCCCCCGCCGCCGACCAATCCGGTGCCGCTGCTGCTGCTGGTGGGGCTAAGCTCCGCCCCCTCGAGGAGAGCCCCGCCCTCCTTGGAAGAAGAGGAGGAGGAGCAGGAAGAGGGGGCGGGGCTCCGCGAGAGCAAGGAGTCGATCCCGAAGCCGTGGGGGGCCTCCATCGGGGGAGGGGCCAACGAGGAGCAGGCTCCGTCATTCATTCAGTCCTTCATTCATGCTTTCAGGGCTTCATTCATGCCTTCAGCCAGGCATTCATTCATGCCTTGGAAGGGAAGGAAGGTCCTCTTTGCTGCAAAGGAGAAAAGACAGAGAGAGAGAGAGAGAGAATCAGTGTTGTGTTTCCCAATCACTGAAGGCAAAGCATGGCAATAATAACAGTAATGCTACTACTTATAGTAATCATAGTAATAGTAGTATTACTACTATTGCTACTAATACTACTAGATTATAGTATTATACACGAATAGTAATTATAGTAATAGTAGTAGTAATAATAAAATAGTCATAGTAATAATAATAGCAATACTACTACTTAAAGTAATCATAGTAATAGTAATACTTATAGTAAACACAGGAATAGTAATTATAGTAATAGTAATAATAATAAAATAGTCATAATAATAATAGTAATAATAATAGTAATACTACTACTACTTATAGTAATCATAGTAATAGTAATACTTATAGTAAACACAAAAATAGTAATTATAGTAATAGTAATAATAATAAAACAGTCATATAAACTACTACTACTAATACTTATAGTAATCATAGTAATAGTAATACATAGTAAACACAAAAATAGTAATTCTAGTAATAGTAATAATAATAAAATAGTCATAGTAAACTATTACTAATAATAATACTTATAGTAATAGTAATAGTAATACTTATAGTAAACACAAAAATAGTAATTCTAGTAATAGTAATAATAAAATAGTCATAGTAAACTACTACTACTAATAATAATACTTATAGTAATTATAGTAATAGTAATATAGTAAGATCAATAATATTACTATGACTATTTTATTACTATTACTGTTATTATTTCTATAGTTATTACTACTATTAATAGTAATAATTATAGTAATATCATTAATAATAGTAATTATATAAATAATAACAGTAGTAGTAATAATAGTAATTAAATAGTAATTATAGCAATAATAAAGTAATAGTAACAATGGTAATAAAATAATAGGATTAGTAACATTATAGTAGTAATAATTATAATTATAATTATAATTATAGTTATAGTAACAACAACCAAAATAATAGTAAAGTAATATAGTAATAATAGTAGTAGTACTAATAACATTATAGTAGTAATAATAATTTTAGTTATAGTAACAACAAAAGTAATAGTAATGTAATAATAGTAATAATAATAGTACTCATAACAGTATAATAGAAATTATAATTATAGTTATAGTAATAACAGAAGTAATAGTAAAGTAATAATAGTAATACTAATAGTACTAATAACATTATAATAGTAATTATAATTCTAGTTATAGTAACAACAGAAGTAATAGTAATGTAATAATAGTAATAATAAAGTACTAATAACATAATAGTAGTAATTATAATTCTAGTTATAGTAATAACAACAGAAGTAATAGTAAAGTACTAATAGTACTAATAACATTATAGTAATAATTATAATTCTAGTTATAGTAATAACAACAGAATAGTAAAGTAATAATAGATAATAGTAATATTTATTTATTTGATCAGTCATATGACCATTTCAAAACAGAACATGAGTAAAAAACAAGGCAAAAAGGTGAAGACAGCAGCTGACCTATTTATAGTCAAAGTAATAATAGTAATACTAATAGTACTAATAACATTATAGTAGCAATAATTATAATTCTAGTTATAGTAACAACAGAAGTAATAGTAATGTAATAATAGTAATAATAGTACTAATAACATAGTAGTAATAATTGTAATTCTGGTTATTATAATAACAGTAGTAGTACTTAAAGCAATAATAATAGTAATAATAAAAATAGTAGTAGTAACAATTATAGTTGTAGTAATAATAATAGTAGTAGCTATAGTAATAATAATAGTAATATTATTATTATTATAGTAGAAAGAGGAAAAACATGTCTCAGTCATCGAGGTCAGCACATGCCACTAGTAATAGTAATAATTATAGTAACCATAGTAATTATTATAGTAATAATAAAAATAATAAGAATAATAGTAACCATAGTAATTTTATAGTAATAGTAATAATAATAATTATCATTATCATTATCATTATTATAGGAGAGAGAGAACATGTTATGTTAGGACAAAGCATGGTACTAAGTAGTAGTACTTATAACAATTATTATTATTATTGTAATAATTATTATAATTATAGTAATAATAACTATAATAGTAGTAGCAATAATAACTAGAGTAATCATAATATTGATAGTAATAGTAGTTATAGTAATCATGGTAATAGTAATTATTATAGTAATAGTATTGATAAATGACAATAATAATAATAATAATAATAATAATAATAATAATAATAATTAAAACTATAGTAATAACAGTAGTAGTAGTAATAAGAATAGAGAGAGAGAAACATGTTATGTCTCAGTCATAGAGGTTGAAGCATGGCACCATTATTCTTATTATAGTAATAATTATTCCTATTATATTAACAGCACCTATAGCAAGGAGGTTGCCGGGAAAGATGATCCAAGGAAAGAGAGAGAGAAACATGTTATATGTCATATTGAGATGAAAGCATGATACTAAAAATAATAATATCATGATAATAGTAATAGTACTTATAATAATAATAATAATAATAATAATAATAATAATAATAATAATATGAAGAAGAAGAAGAAGAAGAATTATAGTATTCATAATAATAGTAATAATAAAATAACAATGAAAGTAATATTTACAATTATACCAATAACAGTAGTAGTAGTAGTAATAAACCTCAATCATAGAGATCAAAGCATGGCAATAATAATAATAATAATAATAATAATAATAATAATAATAATAATAATAAGGGTTTTTTTGGTCGTGTCAGGAGCAACCTGAGAAACTGCAAGTTGCTCCTGTTGTGAGAGAATTGGCTGTCTGCAAGGACGTTGCCCAGGGGACGCCCGGATGATTAGATGTTTTATCATCCTTGTGGGATGCTTCTCTCATGTCCCTGCATGAGGAGCTGGAGCTGAAAGAGGGAGCTCATCCGCCTCTCCCTGGATTCGAACCTGTGACCTGAGAAACTGCAAGTCGCTCCTGTTGTGAGAGAATTGGCTGTCTGCAAGGACGTTGCCCAGGGGACGCCTGGATGATTAGATGCTTTATCATCCTTGTGGGAGGCTTCTCTCATGTCCCCGCATGAGGAGCTGGAGCTGAAAGAGGGAGCTCATCCGCCTCTCCCTGGATTCGAACCTTCAGTCCTGCCGGCACAGGGGTTTAACCCACTGCGCCACCGGGGGCTCCATATAATAGTAATAATTATAGTAATCATTATTATAGTGATAGTAACAATAACAGTAATAATTATCGTAATTGTAGTAATAGTAATTTTAATAACAGCAATAATAATAGCAAGAAAGCTGCAGGTGAAGAGGATCCAAGGAAAGAGAGGGAGAGAAACGTGTGATATGCCTCAATCATAGAATTCAAAGCATGGCAATAATAGTAGTAGTAGTAGTAGTAGTAGTAATAATAATAATAGTAACAGTGATAGTAATAATAGTAATAGTAATTATTATAGTATTAGTAATAATATAATGATAGTTATTATAGAAATAATAGCAATCATAGTTGTAATTATAGTAACCATAATAGTAGTTATAGTAGTATTATTACTATTATAGTAATCATAGTAATAGTAATTATTATAGCAATTGTAATAATAAAATAATTATAATGGTCATAACAATTATAATTATAGTAATAACAACAATAATAGGAGGGGTAATAATAATAATTTTATTAACAACGACAACAACAAGAACAATAATAATAGCAAGGAGGTCGCAAGTAAAGAGGATCCAAGAAAATAGAGGGAGAGAGAAATGTGTACTATGTCTGTCTCACTCATTGAGATGAAAGCATGGCAATAATAATAATAATTGTTGTTGTAGTAGTAGTAATACTTATAGTAATCACAACAATAGTAGTAGTATTTATTATCATAATAGTAATAATAAAATAATTATAATAGTAATATTTTTATTATAGATTTGTTGTGTGTTGTATGCTGTATAAGCATGTTCCAGAAGCATTCTCTTCTGACGTTTCATCGCCTGCAACACACAACAACCCAGTGATTCCGGCCATAAAAGCCTTTGACAATACAATGTTATTATAGTAATAATGGCAATAATAGTAGTAATAATAATATTAGTAATATTAATTATATTAATGACAACAACAACAACAATAATAGTAAGGAGGTCACAGATAAAGAGGATCCAAGGAAAGAGAAATGTGTTGAAAGCATTATACTAATAGTATACTATTGTAGTAATAATGATAGTAATAGTAACAATACAATAATGATAATAGTTATTATTATAGCAATAATAGTAATAGTAGTGATAATTATAGTAATAGTAATTATTATAATAACAGCAATAATAAAGCAATTATAATAGTAATTATTATAATTATAGTAATTACAATAGTAGTAGTGATCATTATAATAATCATAATAATACTAATTATTATAGTAATAGTAATCATAAAAATGGTAATAGAAATAGTAATAATTATAACAGTAAATATAACAACCGTAGCAATAATAGTAACCATAATAGTAGTTATAGTAGTAATAATAATTATAGTAATCATAGTAATAGTAATTATAATAGCAATTGTATTACTATTATTATTATTATCATCATTTTTATGATTACTATTGATAATAGCAAGAAGTTCTCAGGAAAAGATAATCCAAGGAAAGGAAAGAGAGAAACGTTTTATGTGTGAATCAGGAGACCAAAGAAGGACACTAATCATAATAGTAATAACGACAATAATAACAGCGACAATAATAATAACAGCAAGAAAGTCGCAGGTAAAGAGGATCCCAGAAAAGAAGAGGAAAGAAAGGAAGAAGCAAGAGAGAAAGAGAGAGAGAGAGAAAAAAACTTGTTAAGTCTCAAGGGGTCACTAATAATAATCATAATATTAATTATAGTAATAATAACAATAGTAATAATAATAATAATAATAATAATAATAATAATAATAATAATAGCAAGAAGGTCTCCGGTAAGAAACATTAAAGGCAAGGAAAGGAAA